AACTGGATGGACTTTTGTCTTTTTTCAGCCAAACTAACTATGTACTGTAAAAAGAAATATACATTTTTTGCCTTACAGAATTTCATGTTGATGAATTAAGCCAATGAGGAGTCATGTGTAGGCCATCTGACCTCATGGTCCTGGAAGCCATTGTCCCTACATTGCACTGCACTACAATAGAAAATTATATTATTCTCTATGGTGCCCATCAATGCAGTGCGTCTGCAGCGCATTTTTGAAAAGGCACAGGCGTTTCTTTGGTGCAGTTGCAGCGTGCTTTTGCCCCATAGTCTTTAATGGGAGAACATGTAAACTGCATGAGGGTCAAGATATTAATGCCTATACATTTCTAATGGAAACAGGTAGATAAAAGTTGACAACAGATCACAATATGGTACCAGCCAATCATAGCAATGTCTCCCAAGTGCATTAAGGAAATAGGGGGAAGTTTGGAGGGGGTCAGACAGGGGTGGAAGGGGGGGAAGAGGAACAACAACCATGACTCCATGAACGTGTACGTGCATTTTTAGTGCGTTTGTGGCAGTTTTATGTATAAAATCCAGCCTCCTCCTCCTCCTACAAAAAATGTATCAATGTAAAAAATTTTTTACGTTGCACTACAAAAACCACATCAACATACAGCAGCACCAGTTTGAAGCTAGGCTTAGTCCGCCATGGTGGGACTGTAGTGCATCCTCAAGACAGCACTATTGGTAACTAGCTTAGCTTTACCGCTTCACCAGCAAAGCACAGGCTGATGTTGCAGTGTGGTGCTCTTAGATAGCAAATCAGAGAAAAGATTCTTGCGTTTTAAAGCCACTCGGCAAGCGTTAGGCTATGAAGGGACAGAAGCGGAGTACTCTTATACTCCCCAGCGGTAATATTATCTGTGCAGTGTTTGCCTTCAGAAAGCCCTGCGAGCCTAGAACCAGCAACCCGGAGAGGCATTTAATTATTGAGCTGATAATTGTCATGGAACGTTGCATATCGCCTCTCCACAGCTTGTAATTGATAAACAGAGTCCTGCAGCTGGCGCTTCTATATATTCTGATTAAGAACAAGGTACAGACCCCCTCGTCGTCTCTTCTCCCTCCCCCCCCCCCCACCTCCCTAGCTTTGATCCCATTTCTGAGACAGGGCACCTCATCTACGGGAGTCTCAGCTGCATCTTTGCATCATGACGGCCAGGATTCGCTCTCTCCGGAGGATTACAAATGTTTTCTGCCAGCCCTGCGAGGGTTAACGTCTGTTCGCCAGCTACTTAATGAGAAAACGACACACAGAGCAGATGAGGCACAAAGACAGTTTATTTATGACTATTTGGCACAAGACGCAGAGGTGAAGGTTGATCTGTGGTGACAATGCCGGTGGCGATGTTGTATTGTGCTTGCCATAATATCCAATATAAAATGATTACCTCGGCCGGGAATGCCAAGGGTATTGTGCGGTTAAACGTACTCACTTTGTTGCTTTATGCATAGTGTAAAGCCATCTGATGTTGAAGGGTTCTTTCTGCAAAAAACTGCACAAAGGCATCTCTTGTTTTGGAGTCTCTTAGTTTCTGTTTGCAGTCTTCCGCTAACACAGAGGCAAGGGAACTTCAGAAAACTGAAGTGGGATACACCGTGTTATTATTGTTTGTAGTATTGGACCGTATTGTAAGGTGCTATCGTTGAGTGTTCGTTCAAGTGTGGTCAGGGGCGGACTGACAACTCACGGGGCCCCCAGGCAATAGAGGATCATGGGGCCCCTGTGTCCTTGCCCAAAATAAAAAAAAAGCCTATGAAAAAGGTACCAGGGGCATCTCATGGGGCCCCCTACTGACCCCGGGCCCTCGGGCAGTGCCCGAGTTTCCAAATGGTCAATCCGCCCCTGAGTGTGGTGATTCTGCAATGTGAATAAAGAAGCTTTTTGGACCTTTTGAACTTTATGCACTAGTGCGGTCTAAAGCTGGACATAGATGGGCTGAATTTCAAATGAAAGTTCTTAGGAAAAGAATGTTCCAAGAAAGTTTGTTAGTCTTTCTAATCATTAGTGGGGTCAAATCGACGTTTGTTTTCCACCGCAGTGATTGGAAAATTCAAAGGAGTAGGATGGAAAAGGTTTCTTGAAAGAGCAAATTTCTATCAGTTGTGAAGTTCAGGCTTATCTAGCTCAAGTGTAGCGCCCGCTAGTAAGTATAGTCCACGCCAAATATTTCCATTTAAGGGCTTGTTGGCCCACTTTTATTTAGCTCTTTTGCTGCCAGGTCTATGCGTTTTACAGATCTGACAGTGGGGGGGTTTACACACAATCTGGTGGCTGCAGCCACCGGGATTGTGTCTAAGACTGACAGGCAGACTACTGCCTCTCAGGTAGAAGCAGCAGTTGGGCGGCTACACTGCGACCCAGTTGTTCCAAAGCCCCCGGTACCAGTGTGCGTGTTCCCGCCATGTATCAGGGCCCTGCTTTCCCATCTGCGGGCCCAAGGCCAACATGGCAGGTGGAGGGGAAAGAGAACATCCACTCTGCTTCCCTTCGTTCTGTGAGGCGAAGACGATGTGTATGACGTCACTTCCAGGTCACAGCTGTCACTTTCCCTGGCTTGAATAGCCGGGGACCAAATACGATTCCTCCTGCGCTCCAGGACCCAGGTCGGTGGCGAGTAGGTGAAATCAAACCCAAACGAAACGACCACCAGAGCATGAAAGGTCGTGCAGCTCCAAAACAAGGCTGGGGAAGCCCAAACAATACTGCAAAGTGAAAAAAACAAGAAGCGTACCAACCTTGCGCATTACCTCAGTAACCAAAATTTATTAGTAAAGGAATGGTACTCACAAACGGCGAATAAAAACAGGCATGTAAGTCCTCCAAGGGACTTCAGAGACAAGAGGCCAGCGCGAATCCCATTATGGGGGTAGACACTCAGTACAGCTGACGCATTTTGAAGGTCATTCCTTCTTCCTCAGAGCTTTCTTGAATAGCCGGGATTACATGCATTGCAATGCATCCAGTGGAGGTCAGAGGAGGCGTGCAGGTTCTTTTAGACCAGGGGTAAGCAACCTTAAAGAAGTGGAGATCTACCTGAACAACATGGGAGAAGTCAAAGATCACTGGGCACAGTGTCGCCCAGTGTTACCTCTTCACCTCTGATTTAAACCTCTAATTGCCATACTACCATGCCACAATTGCATTCATTACACAGCAATCAGGGGTTTAAATCAAGTGGAGGGGCCTCCTCATCACCTGTCAAACACACCCGGATCACTTTTAACAGGAGCAGCAGTGCCTGCTACACTTAAGAACAAGCCCTTAGTTGTATCTGGCAGCAGCACTCTTAGGGCTCATTCACATGTAAAGTTGGGGGGTGGCAAAACCCAGCGGTTGAGGCAGCAGCCAAAGGTGTACACTGCCGCAGATGGAATTACATCCCCTGTTGCTTTTGGTGGTTGCTACCGCCTGTCAATCCAGACCCATTCAAGTAAATGGGCCCACTCTGCAAGTGCCCCGTAACTGCATGTTTCTGCGTGGTCCAAGGAGTTAAAGAAGGTGGTGAGAAAGCAACACAGCACTACCTGTTTAACCCCTTGTTTGCTGTACTGCACAAAGTTGCAGGGCACTTGCAGAGCGGCTTCATTCACTTGAATGGATCATACTTGGTAAGTGCTGAACCCACCAACCATGAGAGGGCTTAGGAGATGGCACTACAGAGGAGACATCGGCTTATGTGACTCTTACTTCCTACTACAGCTCCAACAATACAAATAGTCTCTCTGCATTGCACTCTGTTTGATGCTCTGAGATGGCGGGTCACCAAGCCCTGACTGTGACCTACCAGTCACCTGGCCGAGATCTGCTGGTTACTGACCCTCGTTTTAGACCCTGCATGTCTCATTAAAGAGAACCTGTCACCTAAGAATCATCATATAGGGGACTCTGTGTCCCCTATGCGATGTAAAAAAAAATTTGTTAAACATACTTAATTTTTTTGCAAAAAAACCCAAAAAAACACTCAAGCACATAGCAGCCCCCCTAAAAATGTCAGCACCCCTACATGTAGGCATTTGCGAACGTAAACGCACACGTCAGGACGCCTACATGTGAAAACGTCGATTGCAATACACATACGCTGTACACGCCGGAGTCAGAGCAATAGTTCTAGCATGAGACCTCCTCCGTAACGCTAAACTGATGACCTGTAGGGGCTTTTGAAGCATTGCCTATAGAAAACATAGGGTACTGAAGTTTGTCGCCATTTAATAGGCGTACACAAATTTAAGGTTTGGCGTGTTGGGAATATATTTAGTCGGCGCAACCTCATCTTTTATTTTTTAGCAAACATTCGGGTAACCGGAAGTTCGTCACCGCGTACCAACGCATTACGTCACGCTAATCACGTGACTTCATCAGGGTATACCCTGATGAAGTCACGTGATTAGCGTGATGAACTTCCGGTGCTTGGTGACGTCATTTCCGGCGTGGGCGCCATTTTGGTACACCTAACATTACCCATGTACTACACCCATAGCATGAGGTGAAAAGCTGAAATTCTGTGGATTGCATGTGAGATCTCTTTGCTTTATTGATATGATCCTTTATGGGAGAGTGAGCGGTATTGCTGTTACCGGTGTCTGGAGGGGACCTGAGAGGAGATTCTAGTAAGAAGGGATTCATTGTTCATTTTAGTAAGAAGGGATTCGTTGTTGTAAGAGGTGACCAGAATGTTTTTACTCTGTACTTTCATGATATAGTTCAAGTATTTTTTGTACCTCAAATATAGAATACTTAGAAGCATTGTATAAAAAGTGAGGAATACAAAAAACTGCACGCTTAATTTTATTAAAGATTTTATTACATTAATTTTATTAAAGAGACATCACATTTTTAAAGAGCGCTGTACTAAATAATCTTTATGTATACAAACAAATATATTATTCTTTGTATTGCTCTTAACTGTGCTTTTTATGTAGAGGTATATATTTATGTATGTTTAGTGTCCTTGCAGTCATTTATGAAAATTCTTAGCTAGAACAGTTCGTATTGCAAAGATCAGCTGATTCGAAAAACCCATACACATTGACCATTGGGAACATGACAAGCGCCCCAATCATGGATCCCAGCTGAACTACTGCTCCGCACCATACGAGGGCGCTGTGACTCTGGCTGCGTAGAATCACCCCAATCATTACTTTGACGTAACTCAGCGTACCGATAAAGAGAACCCAAGAGATGACCTGATGGGAGATCCAAAGAAACACGTCAGTACATTTGCAATAGTTTCCTACTAGGATATTAATTTACTGCCAGCATTAAAGAATGGCACAAAAATAAACATCACTAGAAAATGGATAAAAATGTTGCTTTAGCCGCCCCTAAATTAGTAACGGTTTGTAAAAGCGGAACACATGCAGTATTTTCATTACTGTGCTTTTTTTTCTATTAATGGTCCTTTTTTTCCTCCACTCACTAGATGTCTTCTGAATTAATTGTCTGCATGTTAAATTATTCATATTTAATATTGATGTTGAAGAATAACCAGAGGCGGACTGACCATTCGAGCACTCGGGCACTGCCCTAGGGCCCGGGGTCAGTAGGGGGCCCCATGAGATGCCCCTGGTACCTTTCATAGGCTTTTTTGGGTGTGGTTTGAGTGTGGGCGAGGACACAGGGGCCCCATGATCCCCTATTGCCTGGGGGCCCCATGAATTATCAGTCCGCCACTGAGAATAACTTTACTTTCATAAAGTTATTTTTTAAAGTGGTTGTAAAGGCTGAAGATTTTTTACCTTCATGTATTCTATGTATGCAGATAAAAAACCTTCAGTGTGCAGCTCCCCCCACCCCCAGCCCCCCAATACTTACCTGAGCCCCATCTCAATCCAGCAATGTGCACAAGAGCAGCGGCTCTCCTGGCTCTCTCCCTCCTCATTGGCTCAAACACAGCAGCCGAGGCCATTGGAGACCATAACCCTGTGTGAGGGTAATAACTCACTGTCTATTAATTTCTTCATTGCGCTAAGACTAGATCTTACCCTAGAGTCACACCTAAGCATTTTCTGCAGCGTTTTGCAGAAACGCAGTACAGTCCATTTAACACGATTTCCTATGGGACAGGTTCACATCTGTGCGTTTTCACCCGGTGTGTTTTTTTGGAAAGGTTCAGGGACTTTTTTGAATGCAAAAAGTTGTGTTTTTGGTTCTATAGACTTCAATGGAAATGCTGCAGAAAAGCAAGTATTGCATTTTAAATCTGCCTAGCAACAAGAAAAATAAAAAAAAAAATTAAAAAAAAACCCGCAGGTGCAAAAACCGCATGACGCAACGCAAAACGCAATGCAGAAACGGCTGAAAAGCAACCTGCGTAGGTGTGAACCTAGCCTTAGGAACTAGTCACAGGACATAAGTCGGGGGAATTGCCAGTTTCATGTTAGACTTTTCACACAGGTGTCTTGCTGCATCACAAATTACTTCAAATACCTAAAAAAGTGGAAGCATTATGTTAGTCCTTCCTAGTATGACTTTCCCTAATGCTGCAATCAGTTCCTAACTGCAGGAAAATGAAGTTGTCTTGGTGAATATATTGGGGAAAAAAAACAGAAACACAGCGCCACCTTGTGACAGCACAAGACACCTGCAACCCAGTAAATGCAGATGGACATTCATTGTAAATCATTCAACAAGTTTGAATTAAGGAAAGTACATGGACTGCAAATTTAAAGACTCAGGAACAAGTGAACTGCTGTAAGCTATCTGAGGAAAATGTATAAGTCCAGTCAATTTCTAACTAAGCCTAAACCTGCTCCCACCCGCCATACTAAGGCTAAACCTGCTCCCACCCACCCATACTAAGCCTAAACCTGCTCCCACCCACCCATACTAATCCTAAACCTGCTCCCACCCACCCATACTAAGCCTGAACGTGCTCCCACCCACCCATACTAAGCCTAAACCTGCTCCCACCCACCCATACTAATCCTAAACCTGCTCCCACCCACCCATACTAAGCCTGAACCTGCTCCCACCCACCCATACTAAGCCTAAACCTGCTCTCACCCACCCATACTAAGCCTGAACCTGCTCCCCCCCATACTAAGCCTAAACCTGCTCCCACCCACCCATACTAAGCCTGAACCTGCTCCCACCCACCCATACTAAGCCTAAACCTGTTCCCACCCACCCATACTAAGCCTAAACCTGCTCTCACCACCCATACTAAGGCTAAACCTGCTCCCACCCCCCATACTAAGGATAAACCTGCTCCCACCACCCATACTAAGCCTAAACCTGCTCCCGCCCACCCATACTAAGCCTGAACCTGCTCCCACCCCCCATACTAAGCCTAAACCTGCTCTCACCACCCATACTAAGGCTAAACCTGCTCCCACCCACCAATACTAACCATAAATCTGCTCCCACCCAACCAAACTAAGCATAAACCTGCTCCCACCCACCCTTACTAAGCCTAAACCTGCTGCCCCCCCCCCCTCCCCCCCATACTAAGCCTAAACCTGCTCCCACCCCCCATACTAAGCCTAAACCTGCTGCCACCCCCCACATACTAAGCCTAAACCTGCTCCCACCGCCCCCCCCCCCCCCCAGACTAAGCTTAAACCTGCTCCATCCACCCATACTATGCCTAAACCTGCTGCCACCCACCCATACTAAGCCTAAACCTGCTCCCACCCACCCATACTAAGCCTAAAGCTGCTCCCCTCCCCATACTAAGTCTAAACCTGCTCCCATCCCCCCATGCTAAGCCTAAACCTGCTCCCACTCCCACCCCCCCTCCCATACTATGTCTAAACCTGCTCCCATCCCCCCATACTAAGCTTAAGCCTGCTCCCACCCCTCATACTAAGCCTAAACCTGCTCTCACCACCCATACTAAGGCTATACCTGCTCCCACCCACCCATACTTAGCCTAAATCTGCTCCCACCCACCACCATACTAAGCCTAAATCTGCTCCCACCCACCCATACTAAGCTTAAACCTGCTCCCAGCCACCCATACTAAGCCTAAACCTGCTGCCACCCCCCCCCCATATTAAGCCTAAACCTGCACCCCACCCACCAATACTAAGCCTAAACCTGCTCCCACCCCCATACTAAGCCTAAACCTGCTGCCACCCCCCATACTAAGACTAAACCTGCTCCCACCCCCCATACTAAGCCTAAACCTGCTGCCACTCCCCATACTAAGCTGCTCCCACCCCCCCATAAACCTGCTCCCACCACCCATAATAAGCCTACTAAACCTGCTGCCACCCACCCATACTAAGCCTAAACCTGCTCCCACCCACCCATACTAATCCTAAACCTGCTCCCACCCACCCACCCATACTAATCCTAAACCTGCTCCCACCCACCCATACTAATCCTAAACCTGCTCCCACCCACCCATACTAAGCCTAAACCTGCTCCCACCCACCCATACTAATCCTAAACCTGCTCCCACCCACCCATACTAATCCTAAACCTGCTCCCACCCCCCCATACTAAGCCTAAACCTGATCCCACCCACCCATACTAAGTTTAAACTTGCTCCAACCCCCCCTACTAATCCTAAACCTGCTCCCTCCCCGCCCATACTAATCCTAAACCTGCTCCCACCCAATCATTATTCTAACTGCCCTGTGAAGGAAAAGATGTCTATACTTATAGTTGTGCTCAAAAGATTGCATCCCCTGGCAGCACTGATATTGAAAATCTGACTGATCATGCCAATAAACTGTCTTTTATTTAAGGATAGTGATCATATGAAGCCATTTATTATCACATAGTAGTTTGACTCCTTTTTAAATCATAATGAAACCATCTAAATGGCCCTGATCAAAAGTTTCCATTCCCTGGATTGTTTGGCCTTGGTACAGACACACAAGGTGGCACACACGGGTTGATATGGTGAATAAAGGTTAATTTCCCACATCTGTGGCTTTTTAAATTGCAGTTAGTGTCTGTGTATAAATAATGAGTTTGTTAGCTTTTTTTTTTTCATATTTTTTATGCCAGAAAAACTGAAATAAACACAGCAATACATGAAGGAAGCTATAAGATAAAATACGAGTTTACTGTTGGAGACACGTAGAGGTTTTTGCAAATTCATACAATAAATGAGAAGTGTAACATTTTTTACTTACAATAAGGGCAACACCCCATTTAGTACCATGTAGGATGGGGCACGGACTCATTACTGCCGTCATCATGTTGTAAGCCCCAAATCCCGTCCCAAGCACTGACCAGAACACCAGGCTGACAAAAGACCTGAAGAAAAAAAAACATACACAGCACAACACAGCCATGCAAAGCAGTGTGCTTACAGTGAAGCACTAACACACAGCCCCTAGTAAAACAGCACACAGTTAACCCTTTGATCACCCCACATGTTAACCCCTTCCTGCCTAGTGCAATTAGTACACCAACATGCTGGAGAGAGGGAAGGACTCATTCTTGCTTCCAACGTGGAGTAAAGTAAGCTCTGTGAAGAATTTTAAATTGGATCAATTTATTTCTGGCAGAGACTAGGGGAGAGAAGGAAGAATCCCATATCTCGGACCAGTCTTCATCATCCAGGCTAGGGATATCCATCCTCCATTTCAGACATAGGGATGCCAATTCGGGGCTGGCCGCCACAAGAAGGTATCTGCAGAGTTCTGACGTGAGTTTTTTCAAATGTGATACACGAAGGATAGATTCTAGCTCAGAGTAGGAGAGGAAAATTGGTTGACTGGAGAACTGGCCTCTGAAGGCATGGGAAACCTGAAGATATCTGAAGTAATAGTGCGGCGGCAGATTGAATTTAGCTTGGAGAATTGAAAAGGGGAACAGTTCACCATAACCAGTGATATTCTCCAGTGTTTTTATTTTGTATTTAGCCCAGACCTGGGGGTCCAGGATTGTAGCAAAGTGGAAAAGAGAGGGATTTAGCCAAAGTGAAGTATGCGGGGACAAGGTGTTAGAGGGGAGAGATTCTAGTCTGAACCCAGCCCCCAGGTCCAAAGAGTGGTAAGCATAGATGGTGTAAGTCCATGGGGTGATTTTAATCCCCTAAACACTAGAGATTGGAGGGCTTTTAAAGATTGCAAAATCTCCGCTTCCAAGACAATAGAGGCATTGGTTAGGACTGGCTGTAACCACCAGTGCACAGTAACAAGTTGAGCAGCAAGGAAATGCTTGAAACAATCCGCCATAGCCAAACCCCCTCTGTCCATAGCTCTGGTGAGGGTAGTGAGTTTGTATCTGAAAGGTTCCCCAAAGAAATGAAAGGAACAATTGGTTTCATTTCAAAAAGAATGACTTGGAAAGCCAATGAGAAGAATTACGAAAATTATACGTAAATTTGGGAAGTATTTTCATCTTTAACAGATTAATACGGCCAATCAGAGAAAGGGGCAAGTTACTTCACGCCTTCACTATGGACGTGACCTCGGACAATTGGCTGGAAATTCAGTTCTATAAAATCAGAGGTCTTCTTGGAGACCACAAAACCCAAATAAGTGAATTTATCCACCCACTGTAAGGGAGAAGTAGGGAAGGAGGAGGCCGATGCTTTACATGGACAATAGCAAAACGTCAAAAATATAGTTTTTATTCTCAAAATTGTTGGAACTTTTTTTTTATAGCACAAAAAATAAAAAAACACACAGGCAATCAAATACCACCAAAAGAAAGCTCAATTTGTGGGAAAAAAAGAACGTAAATTTAATTTGGGTGTAGCGTTGCATGACAGCGTAATTGTCAGTTAAAGTAACGCAGCGCCGTAACGCAAAAAGTGGCTTGTTTAGGAAGGGGGGGGGGGAGGGAATCCTCTGGAGGGCAAGTGGTGAATTCACCAAAATACATTTCAGGGGCTAAAATACCAGGACAGTACAAACACCCCAAAATGGTCCCTTTTCGGAAAGTAGACAACCTAAGCTATCTGCTGAGAGGCATATTGAGTCCATAGAAGATTTATTTTTTTCCACAAGTTTTTGGAAAATGGCAAAAACATTTTTTTTTTTATTACACAAAGTTGTCACTTAAATTATATATTTCTGACACAAGCCATGGGCATATGTGGAATTACACCCCAAAATACATTCTGCTTCTTCTACCGAGTATGAAGATACCACATGTGTGAGACTTTTTGGGAGCCTAGCCACATACAGGAGCCTGAAATCCAATAAGCACCTTCAGGCTTTTAAAGGGCTTTATTTCCTCATTACACTTCCTGACTACCTATCATAGTTTCGGAGGCCCTGAAATGCCAGGATATTTGTCTGACTCAGGAAGCATTTCAGACCTCTGCAAAGAGACCATTGTTTCCACACAGAGAACAAAAGGGCTTCTCTACATCATGCTGGCAGGTGATGGGCTTTCATGCGCAGGCTATGGTTTCTTTTTTAGGAAAATGAATTGTAAGACTTTGCACGCTTTTTGTTTTGATGCACCTGAAATGTATTTAGTTGATTTATGCTAAAAGCTAAATGGGACGTTATGCCCAATTCCTACATTTTGAGTTACTATCACTGAGTGCTCTCGCTCTTGTAAGCAAACACCACCCAAGCATCAATTTGCAGATAAGCCACTCCCAGTGCAAGCCAAATCAGAGCTTTCAGCTGGAGTGTGACAATGTAGAAGCATTTCAGGTAATTATACCAGATCAACTGAAAAAAATATATACAGTATTTTTGTGACTTTCAAGAAATACATAATCGAACAGAAAGGTGTTTTCTATATTTCCATTTACATATTCTTTACAAAATATGAATTTTATGGTCCCTAGGATAATACTTAATCTCTAATCTGCACAACATAGAGTCTGACTTATCTATTTTTGTTCATAATGGCCATGTGTATATTTTGTTATGAAGGGAACTTCTACTTTTACATTTTTAATTATAGTTCCTGTATATGACAGCTGCTCTTTAGCTTTTGTAGACCTAAATGATTAAAAAAAAACCATGTCAGCTGTTCTGTCAATCAAAATAATAGAGTATAATAATATAGTAGATGGGATGGGCACAAGATACTGACAGGTTGCAGAAAGGGTCTAATTTGCATGTTAGCTGCTCTCCCCCGTTATAAGTAAAAAGGAACCAGTGGTAATGTATAAATGGTTGTATTCAGTCTGATTGTACAATCTCCTTTAGCTCTACCAACAGTTGCGTGGTGAGAGGGCCTACCTAAGCATAGTTTGAATAGATGGTTTATGCCAGGAGTCTCAAAACGTTCTAAAGAAAGGGCCACTTTACTGTTGCTAAGACTTTAGGGGGGCTGGATTGTGGCCAGTGGGGGAGTAGAAGATATCCTGGCATTAGTGGGAGTCAACAGTGCCCCATCATTGGTGTTAGTGTGAGGAATAGTGTCCCATCATTGGTATCACTGGGAGGAATAGTGCCCCATCATTGGTGTCATTGGGAGGAATAGTGCCCCATCATTGGTATCAGTGGGAGGAATAGTGCCCCATCATTGGTATCAGTGGAAGGAATAGTGTCCCATCATTGGTGTCAGTGGGAGGAATAGTGTCCCATCATTGGTATCACTGGGAGGAATAGTGCCCCATCATTGGTGTCATTGGGAGGAATAGTGCCCCATCATTGGTATCAGTGGGAGGAATAGTGCCCCATCATTGGTGTCAGTGGGAGGAATAGTGTCCCATCATTGGTATCAGTGGGAGGAATAGTGCCCCATCATTGGTGTCATTGGGAGGAATAGTGCCCCATCATTGGTGTCAGTGGGAGGAATAGTGTCCCATCATTGGTATCAGTGGGAGGAATAGTGTCCCATCATTGGTGTCAGTGGGAGGAATAGTGTCCCATCATTGGTATCAGTGGGAGGAATAGTGCCCCATCATTGGTGTCAGCGGAAGGAATAGTGCCCCATCATTGGTGTCAGCGGAAGGAATAGTGCCCCATCATTGGTGTCAGTGAAATGAATAATTGCTCTGCTGTTGGTGCCAGTGGGAGAAAAAGTGCCTGAAGCGCCAGATAAAAGTAAGCAAAGGGCCGTAGTTTGGAGGCTACTTGTTTAGACTGTCCATTGCATTACATAGTTTTGGTAAATTTTAGGATGTGCAGAGATTGTATAATTGGATTGTTTATAATCAGATTAACAGATCATCCTTTTTAGGCTCCATTCACAACTTGTGTGACTTCAAAATTGTGCAATTTTCATTGCGACTTTAAAGTGCAACTTGAGGCGACTCTAATGTGAATTTGGCGCGATTTTGGATGAGTGCAACTTTCTACAGCAGAAACAATTATCCTTGTTCAAAGCCAAAGGCACACGCAAGTCGCATGTACAATATTCAGGTGCGCTTTTCATGCAACTTTGGAAGGTTTGCATGAGGTCTATTGGCCCCCAAGTCGCATGAAAGTCGAATCAAAGTAGTGCAGGAACTACTTTGAAGACACAGCGACTTGTAGTCTTTCAGATATGAATGGTACCCATTGGGAAACATGGGGGGGGGGCGACTTGTCTTGCGACTTTGGACCCCAAAGTCACATGGCAAGTCGCATAAGTGTGAATGGAGCCTTAAACAACATTCTGCCTCTATGTTAGACTGGGATTGCTGTGACATGGGAGATTTTATTGGAGAAAACGGGAATGAGCATTAGATGACTAAACAGTTCCAGATTGGATCAAGTGCTGAGCTACATTCTGTAAAATATGTTAGCATAGTATGTTGGTTACAACCAATCAGATTTTAACATTAAAGGCACTTGTTGGTAGCACGTTAATCAGCACCATTACTGAGTTGATGCTTGTCGTTGTATATATTACATATTTATTACATATTTTTGCTTTACGATCGAAACAATTACACTCACCTGCTTGGTAAGAACATGGCAATCAGGCAAGCTAGAGGATTTGCCATAGAGCCCAGGGCTGCTGCCAGGTGGTATGCCAGATTACCATATGGCATGCATGAGTACGTCTGTATGGAAGGAAGGACTCCATTGGTGAGGGCATTCACCCATCCAGTGAGCAAGTATATGAGTGCATAATGCCCATATGAGTACACCACTTTGTTTGCTTCGGACTCTGGAGAATTCACATTGCTAATGTCTGTCCCGCTCACCTCTGAAGGCCCTGTGTCATATGTTTTATCCCTTGTTGAGCAGGAATTCAGGGTGTTTGTGCTTTGAAGCAAGGCATTATTGAGATTTTCCTTCTGAGAATGCCTACTTAGGAAAAAAAAAGCCATCAAACAGAAAATCATCATAATGAGCAAAAGAAAAAGGAAGACCTGAACAGAGAAGTTTGTCAGGAGATACTCAGTCTGTATGTAGTGATCAGTTTCTGTGGTATTTAACCATCCTTGTGTTACGTTGTCAGTGTGTGTTCCATTAATACACTTTATCATTCCTACTCCTTGGATCAAGGATAAAAGACCAGGGATGAGCCCGCTAAGCCCCTCACCGATAAAGTACGTCGTTATATACTTGGGTTGCAGTTGCATCATGAATGGCAGAAAGGTTACCGATGAAGTGCAATCCACTAAGGATAGGAAAAATGTCAAGATGAGGAATGCCGTACTGTGTAACTGGCCTCCTATCCAGGTGGTTTCTTTCCAGAAAAAAGCCATAAGGAATAATGCCACAATTCCCAAAATGATTATGGCATATATGACCCAAACTTCCTTCAGCCTCCCAGGCTTCCACTTGTGCATTATAGTAACAAACAAAGGCCCAATGTTGGCCATTTGGATGATTATGGTGAGGTAAGATGGTAAGTACCATCCTTCTGGCAGTTCATTGACGATGAGTGGAAGTTCAACCCATAAGCCGTTGATGGCCACCCATGCACCAGTCCCAAAGATACAAGCCAACAGGTGAAGAACCAAAGTCATCTTACCAATACACCTTGCCTGTGGCCCGTCAAATCAGTTATGGCAGTCAATAGCAGCTCAGTGAAGGTTACTTATTAATTGTGCCTCTCACAGTTCAAACCAACATCGGTAGTCCACCACCTGTTAATTGTAAGTTAGCACTCAGAAGACTGCAGTTCACACTGTTTTGTTGAGCATGTGATTACTGTCAGCACGTCCTTTTTTTTTTTTTTTTGCTTTAACAGTTATCAAGAAGCAGAAAAAGAATTTCCTTTCTTCGCTGATGTAATTTCCTCTGTTTGCTTGCAGTTCTTAAAGTTCATGTTTTCATTCATTACTATAAAAGAAACAGTACAAATATTTCACAACCAGGACAAAGTATTTATTAACACCGTCAGTCTGCAAGCTACTAATTGGAAGGAGTCATAAGGACGGTGGGTGAGACGCTTTACATGGCAAGCCAGCTCGTTGATGTTGCAACAGAGAATCATAGGAACAGCCATGAGTAAATACTACATTCATTGTGTTTTAGTGGTCTCATTGTATATAAAAAAAAGGGAGGCCTATAGATCATTTATCACTTTCCAGATCCTAACTTTTGCACAGAATGTGTTTTATCTTATCTTATCTTATCACCTTTTACCAAAGTCCACTCTGTCACTAGCTCTCTATATGTCTTCAGTTTTTTTCTTTAAGATTTTTACTATGCCCTTCATTGAAAACTCTAAGAATTTCAGCATAATTCATAAAACACTGTGAGCCTGTAATTTCCCCATTCATCCTAAATGGAGAGGAGTATTGGTTCATTTTCAGCATGTCATGAATTTCTATATGAAAGATGGTAACCCTGCAATGTGAAATACATTTACCACTTGCTCCATCCTGCTATGATTGAAGAAAATCCCCGTACTTCCAAATATGAATGTGTTGCATCAGGGGAGGAATGACAACTCATGGGGCCCCTGTGTCCTTGCCCACACTCAAAGCACATCCAAAAAAGCCTATAAAAGGTACAAGGGGCATTTCATGGGGCCCCCTACTGACCCCGGGCCCTCGGGCAGTGCCCGAGCGCTCGAATGGTCAGTCCGCCCCTGTGTTGCATGTAATTGACTTCATGGGGTTTATTTACTAAACCTGGTTGACTCAGAATCTTGGGCACCTGTGCATGGTAGCCAATCAGCTTCTAACCTCAGCATGTTCAGTTAAGCTTCAGCAATAAAACCTGGAAGCTGATTGGTTTTTATGCAGAAATGGACAAGATTCTGAGTCAACCAGGTTTAGTAAATAAACCCCAGTGTGACAGTGTGGTTGCTTGGTGATTGGCCCAGCACTGTCAAATAGGAGAGTCCCCAGCCCTGTGTAAGCTTTAACTGGAGCAACACAACCAACAACTATGTGCTGCTGGGGAGAAATCCAAAAGCTCTTAAAGCCTATGTGTAGCAAAAAAACAAAACAAAACACAACAATCAGCATTAGGGACATAACTTCAAGTTAGTAGGATGCATCTTGTGTGCTGAATCCTCTTCTTTTAGATATAATCCTTTTCCATCTGTGCCCTCACCCCCACTGCCATAGTCTTTTGGTGCTACTAAGGTTAAAAGAACTAATGGGTTATCACAGGCTTTCATCAAGAGTGCCTAACTATGCTCACACTTTCCACCTAGCTGCTCCTTAGAAGTCATACTATACTTTCTATGAATGAAATACAATTGGATAATAGAGGAGATGGGGACTTTTCTATCATCTGCCCATCATTCATATATCCTGCTTCATTAACAGAAGCTGTAGAACCGCACCCATGAATGGAGCAGCTGGGCAGAAAAGACAGCCTAGTTGGGCACTCTTGATGAAAGTCTCTGACAGCCCATTAGTTCTATAACACCGGTCACACTGGAGGATTATGGCAACAGGGTTGGAGGGGGAGCATGGACAGATGACGATTTCACCTAACAGAAGAGGCATCAGCACAAGGGACACATCCTACTGACTGCAAGATAGGTCCCTTGTGCTGATTTTTGTGTTCTGTTTTATTTTGGTTGTACTTAGGCTTTAAAAGTAGATCTGTAATCTGTAATAATATCCCATTTTTGGGCCCACCGTTGATTTACAGAGATATTGTAGAGTGGTAGTGAGCAAGCCATCATCCTTGAGATGCTTCACTTTAAATTAGAATTAAAGGCCGAAAATAATAGCCAAAACGGGAAGTGGGAAGAAATCCCTCCAAAGTGGGGGAATTTCACCAGAATTGTCACTGAAACTACTGTCCCTCTTGGAAAATTTCCTTTAATCCTGAGTTCTAGTGGCAACACAAAATTTGGGATTTTCTTTTATTTATTTATTTATGGTGATGACGATACACAGTACAAAAAGCAAGGGGTGAATTTCCTTAAAGTGTTACTAAACCCACAACAGTAAAATCAGTCTGTATATGCAGTTAAGCATGCTTGTTATACTCACTGTGGAACCGAAGGGGTTAATCCTCTGCATTGTGTATAAAGGCCATTTGATCCTGAATTCTCTGATCCTCTTCTTGTTCAAATGTCCACCTGATATGACAGACTGAACCCTTAGCCACATGCACATGCTCAGCTTAGTGTGTATTGCTAGAGCGTTTTTGTTTTTTTTTTCTTGGGAGAGTGCATGTGATCAGCACAGGGCCAATCAGCGCTATCCAGACAAAGGGTCAGGGGTTTTGCATCCTCCTAGAGCAGAAAGAAAACTCCTCCTACAAGCTTTAACCAGTGCTCTGCTGAAGTCTCAAGACTGCTCTAACTGCTGATGAGAAAAGGTATTTAGCAATTTATATTTACTAAAATACTTGCATTTCTATATTCTGTGTACTGTGGTATAGCAGGGAGACCGGATATAGTGAATACAGGGTCCTGGGAGAGCGGATATAGTGAATGCGGGGTCCTGGGAGAGCGGATATAGTGAATGCGGGGTCCGGGGAGAGCGGATATAGTGAATGCGGGGTCCGGGGAGACCGGATATAGTGAATGCAGGGTCCGGGGAGAGCGGATATAGTGAATGCAGGGTCCGAGGAGATCGGATATAGTGAATGCAGGGTCCGGGGAGACCGGATATAGTGAATGCAGGGTCCGGGGAGAGCAGATATAGTGAATGCAGGGTCTGGGGAGAACGGATAAAGTGAATGCAGGGTCCGGGGAGAGCGGATAAAGTGAATGCAGGGTCCGGGGAGAACAGATATAGTGAATGCAGGGTCTGGGGAGAACGGATAAAGTGAATGCAGGGTCCGGGGGGAGAACGGATAAAGTGAATGCGGGGTCTGGGGAGAGCAGATATAGTGAATGCGGGGTCCGGGGAGAACGGATAAAGTGAATGCAGGGTCTGGGGAGAGCAGATATAGTGAATGCGGGGTCCGGGGAGAGCGGATATAGTGAATGCGGGGTCCGGGGAGAGCAGATATAGTGAATGCAGGGTCTGGGGAGAACGGATAAAGTGAATGCAGGGTCTGGGGAGAGCAGATATAGTGAATGCGGGGTCCGGGGAGAGCGGATATAGTGAATGCAGGGTCTGGGGAGAACGGATAAAAGTGAATGCAGGGTCTGGGGGAGAGCAGATATAGTGAATGCGGGGTCCGGGGAGAGCGGATATAGTGAATGCGGGGTCCGGGGAGAGCAGATATAGTGAATGCAGGGTCTGGGGAGAACGGATAAAGTGAATGCAGGGTCCGGGGAGACCAGATAAAGTGAATGCAGGGTCCGGGGATAGTGGATAAAGTGAATGCAGGGTCCGGGGTGACCAGATAAAGTGAATGCAGGGTCCAGGGAGACACAGACAGCAATACAGTCCTAACAGGTGGGCTAATCCCTCTCCACTCTATCCAAATATTAAAATAAAGCTTTGATTTTAGTTATACTTTGAAGGCGTTATCCAGCCTAGTCAAACACAGAAGAGCAGCGGGGGAAGACCACAGGAACCACCAGTCTGCATCGTGCTGTGTATCATGAATACAAATAAATCTCCAGCTTCAAAACTTTTTAAAACCAGCTCAAATCACAAAATTTGCATTGTGAGAAGCAGCAAAACGTAAGCAGCATATAGTAATACAAAGCAGAATGTAAAGTTTTAATGAGCAACTACGTTTGTTAAACATTTTCGTCTATTGATATTATGATTTGCATTATGCTAGTTTCTTTTAACTTAAAAATATTGAAAAGTTTATTCATTTTCAGTGTACATCAACAATGCAGTTTTTTGCTAGGATATGGATGTTTAGTATCTCAATGTTTAGTAGCTCCACTCTGTATGTACACTAAACTCTACCTGACCCATGATCTCTATCATGCTGCTACTCTAAAACAAAGAGTCAATTGTAAGTCTTTGTGTAACATGAAGGAAGAAAATGTGAAGAAATAATTTGGAACTTGCGTACTCACGTCAGTGAACCTTGTGGGAAAAAATCATTACATTTGCTTGCCTTTAATGATGGAAGATATCCTTAAACTGTACCAGTCCATAGTCCCTTGTGTATCAGTAGTTTGGGCTCCAAACGTTCGACCTGCTAAGGTAGTTTACAGCTCCGGCCACTGATACTCACCTGGTTAATCTTTCCACAAGTCAATGTTTAATGTGTTCATGCCAACCCTTTATTATGCAGTACCTCCTTTTCACCAGCTGTTAAAGGGCTCAGACACTTAGAAGGTCACCTATTTTTTGGCAAATACCAAGAAACCATGAACGTTTGTGCCACAATATTTTAATTTCAATCGTTTTTTTTTTTTAATGTTATAATAAAAGATTCCAGTATGTATTTAGTTACACAGATTTTGCTACCAATGTTAAGAAATGCAAGCAGTCAATAAACAATATAATATACGCTCACTGGCCACTTTATTAGGTACACCTGTTCAATTGCTTAGTAAAACAAATTGCTAATCAGCCAATCAC